TACCTCACTAGGGGGGGGAGTGATCTGTAGCTGTAAATAATTCCCCAAAATCAATAGCTCATTAAGTGTTCGTCATTGGATGCTGACCACGTTGTTTAAGTGGACTTGTTTAACTGAAGGCTTTCAGTCATGCATTCGTACCAGATCACGTTTCAACTCGGCGTGGGACACAGCTCCTACGTTCATAACCCAGCTTATAGTAAAGGTTCCTCGATATATTGGTAACGCATCAAATATATCTTTCCTACCTCTCCTCGTCTGACTTCTGATTTCTATCTGAGTGGGAACGATCGAATATAGAAGGTGCTACTGGTAGCTAGTTGTAAAACTAAGTTATCCGTTTGCATCATCAATATATAACTCCTCAACTCGCTGATCTTATTTTCAGCAGTATAACATTGAATGTCGATAATTGAAATGGGATTCAGTGACTGTTTACATACCCTGACTGTTTTAAATGCAGTCATGCAGTAAGTGAACAGATAGAAATTATGCTTACTTTTAATGAGACTGATAAAATTTACTTCAGTATGTACAGGCAAACTGTTATATCTGAAGCGTTACGAATTCACTAGTTAGCGAACGGAATAAAGACTTGTGACCAGAGACCGATAAGCTAGCTATTATGATGCGACCCAAACCCAGCTAACTAGAGTAAGAAGACCAAGTTGGAAACGGGTAAATATATTCCGTGGCAGCCAGAAGCACAGCAGGCATACGGGGAAAAAGTGAAACGTATATATACAGCAACAAATTGTCCTTGGGCACCATTATAATATAACACACTAAAAGAAACAATGAACCGATAGCGTTTAAGATAGTTTACAAGTGGGAAATATGACGTGAAGGTAAAAAGAGCGCTTTTGGCTCGAAAACAGCCTAATTCAAAATTTCAAAATAAAATTACAAAATTAAGCCACTTATCAAGTAAGTTCTGGGGATTTGACATCCCCAACACAAACAAATCTTTGAAATAAGTAACTCTGTAGGTCATTGAAATTAAACATTGCCTTATTACTCGTACTAGGCATGTCATGAGTTGGAAGGTTTTGATAAAGGATGTGCACCTGATCACACTTATATACTATGTCTTGCACATATCCTACGATAATTATTGGGCATAGGTACCATACACTACGATGCCTTGACCATTGATTCAGATATAATTTCCTATCCCGCCATTTTCAATTTCTTGTTTCTTTGGCTTTCAGATCATTTTTTGACAAGTTGTTTGGACAACAGCACTGTAATATTTTGCATATCTGTTATTCTTCTTAAGTTTCACCGGTACTAGGAGAAACTCAGCAGGTATTTTTAGATGATCATCAGTAATAAATAATGCACGATTCTTCAATATGTTTGAGTAACCGAGATGTGAGCTAAACTACTCTTCTGGGACAATCCATCTACAAATATTGAGGAAGCAACAATTCACTGATCTTGACCGTCAAAGCTTAGTACGCGAAAGTTCCTGGTATCAGTCTGGTTGTATCACAGGATTGAGGTTCATAAATGTTATCGAGGTCCCCTTAAACACAAAAGCTTATGGGATGTGACACATTTTTACCACCCAAGTGTTGTGGTTTTGGGAAAAATCCAATTTTGCGTGCTGATCACACTCTTTTAATATTCAGTTTTTCAACAACTCAGACACCAGTCGACCAAACTTCTTACAAGAGTTTGTAGTGACCTACTTTTACGATGTGAACGCGATTTGTGTAATGGAAACAATAATTATTATAAGCAATTGTACTAGTGATTGTTCTACTGTGCTTGTTTGTTTAACTGTACCAAAAGCACTTTTCGATTCGCTGTTCATCTTGCTTGTTTGAACGCTTTTACACTGCCATTTTGCCTGTAATCTTTGGCATGATTATCCCTCGACTGTCACGACTGACCGAGGACAACAATTTGAGTCTGCATTATTCTCCTCGCCCGGTTGCTTGATACGGAACGCATCCGCATTATCTCCTACCAACTTCAAACCACCCGTGTCTGTAGGGCAGAACATATTAATTACGGCTCCTTATATCAAATGGGATGCCATGAACCAGCGGTATTGATGCGAACTTATTTATGCAAAATACCTCTTTAAATCGTGATTAGAACGCTGATTTGGTTCCACTTTCTACCGAGTAATCCTACTACAAGCAAACTAGACAATTGGTTAAAAACGAAGCCCACTCCATACCCTATAAAATCTAAAAACAAAAAAAGAGTTCAAATAGCTTCGAAAAAAAGGGGGACAGCCATTTGTATCGAAATACTGTTTTCAGCACTTTATTTTATAATTACACATAATTCCATACTTCTTTCTGAACTACCTTCATTTATACAGTTCCTTATCCACTCATACCTTGTTCACACTTACTTTTGTTTAACACATTAGTATGCTCTTGCCTTATAAGTACTTCAGTAACAGACAAGTAGACCAAATTGTTATTCCTTAACTATTCCTCCATGAAAATTGTGTGCTCTGCTTTTCGTCATTCCTTTTTCTTGCACCTTTTTCAGCCTCCTGGAGATACCCAACCGAAAACAGATATGGCACGGGTGACTTCGTACTACACCGCTATTAAAGCCTCAGATATTCCGGAGGGATATAAAGTCGAAACCTCTAAAAGCCACCAACTTCGCATGTATCTATTCTCGACCATCAGCTGCATGTTGCAATGCTACCCTCAAAAAGTGCGCCAAGTGTGATATTGACATGTTTCTTACGAATTCCATTTACATTCATATCTGGTAAAATATCAAGTAATTTACAACATTGAAAATTGTAACTTCTGTAACAATTTGATCTTGCCCGTAAACCGGCATGCCTCATGTAACAAACTGTTATTTGAGGATAAACTATTGTTGATATTATTATTAATATATCCGATACGAAAGAACAATGAATCATACAGAGTTGCCACGCCTGCATGACCTAGCCATGCCATTTTCAATTCCTTGTAGCCTCCTTCACCATTGTTGGCCTGCTCTTGCTGTTGCGTGTTGAATGTAAATCTCCACAGTAATTATACGCTCAGTTTCAAAAATTGTGTGGTTATGAACAAATACCCCAACAAAGGCATATTTAATAATATGCTTTCCTTTAGCCAATTAATGACATTGGTTACTGAACTCACAAAACCATATATATCACAAGAAGAAGGGAAAAGTCTTTCATTTATACTTTTGTGAGCCTGCAGTTTCTAGTACTTATGGCGGCAAATAAATTCCCAAAATCAATTACTCTTTAATTGTTCGACATCGGATGCTGAACACATTAGTCTTAATGGACTCACCAACTGAAGGCGCACGGTCATCCGCACCAGATCACAGGTGGGAACACAGTGCTGAAATTCTCCTGCGATCACTAGTCAGTTTGGGTCAGTCACTTCTCGATATGTTGACAACCTGGCAGATAAATCTTCGAACCCTCTTGCTTCTGTCTTTTACTTTCACTGAGTGAGCACAATTCAATTATAGGTTTTACTTATTGAATTGTTGTCAAACTACAATATGTGTGACACCTTCATACGAATACACACTCACATGATCATCATAGATCTTGAACAGACGTCAATAACTCAGGCTGTATGTTACTAACGAGTCGTTTTTAGTTTCATAACAACTCTATTGTTTTCATTCGCAAATATAAACCTTTACACACACGTCTTCATTATATATCCTCGTATTACTCAGCTCATGCGCGCTGCGTATACTTGTGTATATCCAACACTTTGTTTCATATCTAATGCCTGTCTATTTGCCACACTATCCATCATCTACTCTGTAGTGAGTTGTACAGCGAGTTGGTACTTTACTTCTCCGTTTCGTTTCTTTTGTCTGTATAGAACAGTGGATGCATGAAATGTTCATGTCGGAAACTGACTCTCGCATTCGACTTGTTTCGCTATTTTCTACTTCAAATAAAATCGATAACTGTGTACGATGATAACCCGCACGTTTATTTGGTCGACATCAACAAGCGATCTAGCTAGGATAACATCAATGGGCTTTCATAAGCCCATAGAATTATGAAGTGAAAGAACACAGTGGCTTTATATGTAGGAAGAGATCAACACTGATGATTGATTTGTCAACTTTTTCAGGATTGTAGTCAACTTGCATTCGGTTCGATTAGCAGGGTTTTTTCTGTTGGCTCCTTAGAGAACTTTTCTGCAACATTAAGTATGGATGATCAATGTGGCATTTTCGACCAGTAAGAGAAATTTAAAAGCATTCACCTGGCTAAAGCGTTAGTAAACATTTATTTTTCAGATCACAAAAGTGGAATTCAAGTTCATTTTGTAGAAACTGCGTTGTACAATTATATGGATTAGCAACATAAGTGACTGTTGATTCGAGTTGCTAGAAATTATAGTCAGAAATTGGGATTAAGTTAGGTGCTTTTTGATTTAGATTTTCGGGTTATGGAAAATTACTAAAGAAGATACAAGGCTGATGTCATCCAAGGTCTTGACGTTATGCATTCGTATGAAGATAAGTGGTCTACAAATTCTTCAGGAGTTCGAGGGTTCTCTATTTCTGACTACCAAAGACTAGATTCTACCTACCTGCAAGGAATTCGTGACACATTTTTAACGGAATAAATTAACTTAGTATATCACTTTGAAGAGCCTAGCTAATTTTTTCATCCATGATGCATGCAACTTAAAACAACAGGGAAATCAATCTGTAAATAGAAGCCGCCCTCTAAATATTCCCTTTGTGTACAAGTAAAACTACACACGTTTTCAGTAAAATGGAAGTTCATACTTAAACACTGGATGTTGGGAAAGCGTGATAAATAGGAGACTCAGAAATAAGTGCCTAAGGCTAGTTGAAGCTGGTTTCGGAAAATAAAATTCGGATTTATTAAAAAACTCAAATATATGAGCAATCAGAAAGTCCTGTTTGAAGTTCAGTGAATTCTGATGAGCATCTGAATTTCAAAATGCAATAATTATTTTAATTCATCTCTTTTTTCTCTTCATCGCAAAATGAAATATCAAGAATTAAATAATAAGTGTTAAATTTCTGTTTTGTTTATCCAACTCAACTTTAATTAACCTTCCGTAGTGTTGGTTTTAACTTCATTGGTTATGGATTATTATTTTGTCAAAATATTTAGGACGCCTTATTATTAGAAAGCTCTCATAAGATGGGTAAGAAAACAATTTCTATCGTTTGCCCTACTATTTTTTTTCTGATCTATGTTTATTCAGTTTCGAGACAAGGAACGAGATATACATAACATAGCTTTTATTCCTCATGTAAAGAAATATGATGTATGCTACATCAGTCTCTAAAAACCTTAATGAGATTTGATTGAATACTTTGTGTATGTTTGGATAGTTGCTGGGGAATGTGGAAGTTATGTTGATTATATGCAGACACTGGTGAACTTAATTTTATTTGATTTATTGGATCAGTTCAGAGTAATACTAGTTAATAGTGGAAAAAACACGAATTAAATGTAAAATTCGAACTTTGTAAATTAGTGCGTGCCATCAGTACGTGAAAATTAACCGCGAGTGCTATTTCTTTAGTTACGAGCTTGGAATTTGTAAATCGGCATTTAGGTTGTCTAGCTGATGTTGAGACCTCAAAAATCACCGTGGTTTTGGTAGAAATTTTAAAAGTCGCACAAACGTATCGATGTTTTGGGGTCAACGGAGGTGTTTTCAACATGTATTCTCAGCCATTACAGACTGTAATCAAGGTAAAAGCGTTGTTAGCTCATCACCTAAAAGATGCGTTGTTGTTGATAGTATATAGAACAAAGTACATGTAATTATATAAAACAGAAAAAGGAGAATGAATTGTCACAAAAGCAAGCAGCAAATGGATAGAATGCTTTGAAGTCGATTATAAAGTCAGATGACTGCATATAAACGTGAATTCAAGGTATATATCAAGGTATATATCAAAGTCAAATTACCTTTTGATCTTCAGTAAGACAGAGTAAAAGGTATAAATTCCCAATGAATCCTGTGTGTGGTTATTCTTTGAATTTTGAATTTGCACAGATATCTGTCTTTCGCACTTTGGAGTTGTTTGAGGCCTTTAGTCTCAGAGTAGTTATCAAGTTAAGATCTCACCAAGCTTGTGTATATCATTGTAATGATGCTTCTACCAACTTTGGAAAAATTCATCCTAAAGCCCCTATTCCTCCGAATCCCTTGTCTCAAAACACATGTCAGTGGACCATATTCTTGTGGTTGGGGATCACTGTTACCCCTAGATTATTGTAAGATGGGACGGACATCTCCCCAATACTATAGTTATTCATTTTTGTATCGACCATGCATGTAGACGCTTGGCCGGCTCAACAAGTATCAACCACAGTTTAGACCAGCTAAATGGGACGCCTAGATCGGTCTTCAGTAAACATACACCTGGGTTCCCCGTTACTTTTCATCAGGTTTTTGTGTTTTCTACACAAAATAGTATTATGGGCATCAAGATATTCAGAAGTTCATTTAAATACAGTAAAAAAGTAAAGAAACTTGAACTGAGCCTTGTGTTACTTCATTCCTATTTTCTGTCGTCGACCTATCAGAAAGTTATTGATCCTCAGATTTGCCAGCGCTACAAGGAGTCTTCTACGTGTCACCTCAATAAAATACTTTTCCGAACTCAGTTCAAATAACGTTCATTGGTTTTCCGTTGTAGTTCCTTAGCTTCTGATTCTCTTTGTTTGCCATGGTTTCCATAATTGTTCCTCTAATTCTCATCAATAGGCCATTGGAATAGGTAGGGTGTAAGCGAAATATAGATTGGACTAAAGCAGGTTCTGCTCGGGATTGTGTTGGTGCACGCGGATTATCTTTTTTTATCTAATCAGCACTAGTGGATACGTGGAGAAGACTCTAGAATCTTCTTATGTAAAAACCATAAATATACTGATGTTTTTCTTTTTGTGCTTCCTCCTTCCATCTACCCTTGTTATTTGGAATATAATTTCGTTCTTGTTCAACTGGGTTCTGATTTGAGAACTTGTCGAGTGGAGTAGAGTCCAAAAATACTAAGCAATAGGAATAGCTTGGTCGTAATAAGAGAAATCATAACATAGGGAAATAAATGGAGTACTTAGTAAATCGTCTGAGGACGTAAGAGGAGGTCATATTGATTCAAAGAACAACTCTCAGTACCATTATATATTACACAGCTTACAGGGAGTTATCAGTATTATATACTAATGTGCATTCTGCTATATTTGCATAATTGGCTCGAGGATCTTTTTATATCAACGAATTATTTGAATATTGAAAATAATGTTTTATTGCAAGCCAGATCCAATCTTTTTAACTACTTAATATTCAAAATACGCCTAAAGTTTTAAAATATTATTTACAAGATAGTTCTATGAAACCATCATATTTGCTTTAAATGATAGATCATATAGGCTGAAAGCAAACACATTAATGGGGCATTTGGTATCACTTCTCAGTTTGCGCAACGAATTTTCAACTGGCTGATTTAGCTATCAATAAGAACTTAGTAGCTAAGTGGATAACGCGATGGTGTTTGAAGCGAACAGTACTGGATTCGAGTCACGGGGTGGATATCAAATCTGAGATGCAGGTATATCCAGCTGACGAGTTCAAAATAGGACGAAACACGAGTTCTAAATTTTAGTGCTAGACTCTATCCATCTTAGCCCCGAATTTCCTGGTACGGCCGAGAGTGGGGAGAGTTAGCTCTCCCGCTCGAAATGCTATCACATGGCCACGCTCATACAACCACTGCCAGTGAAATCCTACTCACTACCTTTTTGCGGCAATACTGTTGTTTACGAAATTAAGAGGACGAAAAGCGAATATCCGGTGCTTTAACCTGGTTGGTGGACACGGAGAGTTCACCTAGGGGAGTTGGAAAACTCTGATTCCAAACCAATGGTGCTCATGGGCTCCAGGATCCTGGAAGAAGAAATGGCGAACGAACCAATTACTGGTCACCGGCTACCATGGGACTGCATCTCCTGACGTTGCTCCACTGCCTTGTGGATTAGATCTTTAGGTCGAAGGCTCCCTCCGGGTGTGGCCCTCTAGGAAAATCACCTGTTTTGGTTTGGGCACCCGGGCAGTACCACAGCCCTCACATAAATCAATGACAACCGCACTGGCCTCTTTGTTATTGTGTGGCCCATATGTATTCATTTCCCCCTTGTACCAATGTTTGTGTTCAAATAAATAAACAACTATCAATTATCTTATCTCTGAAACATTATAGGAAGATGAATTCTTAATCGTTAAGTTATCCTCAAATTATGTTAGTCGTCTTTTTGTGGATTGTGTTCGAGTTATGGAACCTCTACAGTTATAACCCTGCTTTTGAACTATGATTTCAATACTAAGGATTTTAACAAGGTTACGACTTATTTTAGCACAGGGTACCATTCGCAGTTGTTGCTCAAAGACTGGTGGGTGCCTTAGTGGGAGCTTTAAAGTCTCATTTTTATTCAGTCACGTTCAGTGAGCTATTTTCATGAGCTACAGCCTTCACAACTTTCAACTGGTTATGTTGAACCATATATTAAGGTGACTAGTTCCCGGTGTATAAAATTTGACACATTTCGTTGGATTTTATTGGTATGGATTATTCTTGGCTTCAGGAGTAAATTATTAATAACTTATACAGAATGTCTATGGAATTCAACATAATTCAGGAATATAAATTTGTCGAGTTTCCTGTTGTTCAGAATGTTGAAGCAAAATCACTTAATACGTAGATGATGAGAATACAACATACATTCTACTAAAAGCTGTACGACAATTTGGTAGTTTTATTTAATTAAGCTATAGATGCTGGTAAACAATCCTTCATTAGTTGTATGATACTCATAGATTTATGCTATACCAGTGAAAATATTCGTATTTCAACCACTAGTTCGTTGATTCGAAACCCTCTCCTCCTACTTCAGTTTGTTCGCCGGAGTAGTATCACTAGACTTAATATCTAAAGTGTGGCCTAAAGCTAAGCATAACAGTTCGTACTCGGTAAACAAGTCACATTACTGTTAAATTTATGGATTATTTCAGCATGAGTCACTCCAGAGTATGATGCTGTGGAAATAGGGTTATATAAAACTATCTTTGTAGCTATTCATCTGCAAACAATTAGGACACTTCATCCTACATAAAGAACATTATGACGAAATAATTTTGTGGCCGATTTCAAATTAATATTGATGTACTGCATTAAGTTCCAGATCCACAGTAGAAAATCAATCGTATGTTAATGTTGAAATGAAGCGACTTTGTACCTCATGTTAATTTTATAATATATACTATGTTAGCAGAATCGAGATCCACATTAGTGATAATTCTTTGTCTAGGTGTTTAGCAGCAATATTTTATCAACCAGCTGTCATTATCAGATTTCCAACCAAAGTGAAGACATTCTGATAATTTAGGTGGTGAAAATGCTTGATATCAACCACGTGACTTTCTTTCTGGTTTGTCTAATGGAGTTCTATTGGTAATTAAAATGGTTTAACGTGAAAGTTTCCCTGTTAATTGGCATGAATTATCTTCTGTTTTCTGCTAAAGTACCCACTCTACATAAGCATACTGACTGGTTGAGCTCTAATGTTTTATCTCAGTACCTTTTGGCACTGAGAACCAAATAAACAGATCTTCACACTTCGTTGGAGTGATTAGTACAAATCATGCAAACCGTTACTCTGTTAGGGAAAAACGTTTTTGCTGAGATATTAAGCGATGGATTATTGATCTGGGTTTTGTGGATTGAGATTATGTACTTGAGTCTTTTATGGGTCTTACAAGTAACTGAAACCGAAGTGGGGGGTATATCCACTTTGTTACGGCTACTGAGACTATTAACTTACAGCAATCACACTATATAGGGCAGTTAAAAACTGTGAGATAATAAATGAAAAGTGTCTAGACACTGTGTGTACTTATCTATACTCGCCCGTCCTAATAATTTATTTATGATTGAATGTAAAGAGTAACCTTTTGAACACAAGTCAGAATACTGATATGTACATAGTGTTGTATTGTCAGTTGCCTTCTTGACATTGAGTTTGTTTCCCACTGTGAACAAGAAAATAATTTATAACGTATGTGGAGGTAGATTACTTACCATAGTAAATGAAATTTGGCAATACAATCGAAAGAATCGTATGAATAAATGTATATTCTAGTAAATATGGAGATATTTTCATCTCAGTGGTGCACAAAACTATAGTAACAATTTCATAGATATCTAATTTATGGAAGTAGACCTTTTATAAACGATATAAATGTACCTAACCGTTTATCGAATTGACGCTGGAGATTTCAGTACCTTGTTTACTGAGTAGCAGCTAAGGGCTTAAAATAACCGAACTAGAACACTACTCGGTTTATATACCTAAGTCATCTCATTATTATTCTTGCCTGAGTGCACAAACCTAATGTCGGTTAACACACTGCTTCTATTCAAATTTTGCAAATGCAATTTTTATCTAGTGATTTGTGACTTTATTTGGTTGTAATTAATTAGTAGCCTTACTAGTGGTGTTCGAAAGAGTAATGTTATCTGGAATGTTAAGTATAGAAGTATCGCGTGACTTTAGCCAGATCCGATTGTTTCAGCCATAATTTTGGCTTGTAAATGTTTCAATACTAGGTTAGATTTGAACTGCTTGTTATTATTTTAGCAACGATATAACCAGTTTATTAAGTACATGTTCATGAACTCGATTTCGAGGCACGTTTTTGTGAGAAGATTACTAATATCACCTGACTGCCCAAATAAATCTAGAGTAAGCGGGACTAAAATCTGCGACCTAGTGGTTGAAGATTGAAGGCTAAAATTACTGAACCATCGCTCCAATATTCAGTTATATAGGGTTTTTATTGATAGTGTCTAACTAGTTTGGCAAGCAAAACTGTATCATAACTAAATCAATTCACACTTCTGTGGAAATAGTTGTGTCAAACACACCACTGGGCAACTTAAGAATTTACTTAGCACATTCCTCCTTTTTTTGACAAAAGTCAAATAAACTTAATGATCAGGGTTATCGATCAAACTTTGTATTTACTACTTAATCTGTTAACTACAGTTATCTGGGTTTCGTACTTATTGACAAAATATCATTTGTTGTTTGGATAACTCACTACCATTTGTTTGATTATGAAGCTGATTTAACTTTATTAGTCAATATTTATAACAATCTTTTAATCATGATTTTCTCATTACAACAAATTAGTTGGTTTTTGTAAGGCCTAGTCAAGTACACTGTAAACAGCTTAGAAATTTACATAAGTTACATTGTTGCTTCGGTCTGGGCACCCGGGCAGTATCATAGCCCTTACACAATTAAATGAAATGACATTCTTTTGTGTGGCGTATATATATCTGGTGCCCCCTTGTGCCAAATATTTATGTGTTTAAATAAATAAATAAATGATGAAGTGTACAGTCATTTTGTATAACTCTAATTCTTTCCAAAGATAATCATAAAATCAAATTAAAAATTGTATAACATAACAAACGAGTAGCAAGATTTTTTTTTAACACTAAATAGAAATAAGGTGAAGCATCGAAAAAGTCTCGATTTCTTTATTTTACTGATTGATAAACACATGAACCTTACTTTCAAAGGTTATCCATGGATATTGTTCCACTGTTACAATTACTACTACTGATATTAGTGATAATAATAATTCATTTCAAATCTATACCCAACTAACTTTTCATTTATCTCAGTGTAAAATCTCTAACTTTCATGAAATGTTTATGATTATAAAACTTCGGTTATCCACTCACTTTTAGTCCGGTTACCATAGTAATCATGTTTTACATTATTTTGATGAGTATTGGCGAAGGTGCATCCACTCTTTGTGTTCTACCAAATTCTAATCTTCTGAATTCTTCATGTCCGTATCCTTTTTCTCTTTCCAAATTTATCTCACCGTATTATACTCCTTCAATAACATCTTCAAACCCCTATCTTTCACATAATACTTATACTCTTATTACTTCTACCAATATGGGATTTGAATCGAAAATTTCATCTCTGTGCTATTGTGGTATGACAACTCGAACTGATGTACGTACTTACGAAGTTCTACGTTGTAACTGACTGAGTAATTAGTTAATGTGTTCTTCTTATTGATTTAGCTAGTTATAAAATCCCTCTAAAAATATATTTTTTTATTATTTCAATCTTTATTTTATTGTAGTTAAAGTTTATTGTACGGTATGTCATAAACGATGTAAAGGTGATGTATTGAAAATTGAACAACAATTTGTTCATTACAAATGTTTTCAATGTATCAGTAAGTTCAATTGGAAACAAATATATATATAACCCTATTTCTTTTGAATAGAATGTTGTAAAAATTTAAAACAAGGTGGATTCTTTGTTAAAGATCAAAATTTCTATTGTCCAAATGATTATCAAACACAATTTGGTGTAAGATGTGAAACGTGTCAGGGTTATGTAGAAGGTGAAGTTGTTACAGTATTGGGGAAAACTTTTCATACTCATTGTTTTCGTTGTACAACATGCAGGTTCGTTTACACATTTCATTGATATGAATGCATAAACCCTCATTTTGTTTGTTATTGTTTTTGATACAAACGCTCAATCGGTGAATGTTTTGTTTTCTAACTAGACATCATTGTCAGTGGATTAGGTATGGAAACTGATTTCATGTATAGTATTCGTTGACCACCTAGTCGTAATATGAAGTGATTATAGAGTAAAGCTTGATTCATTTCTCTTTTATTTCATGCAACCATTAACCAGAAATACAACAGTATAATTTTAATAAAATTTTCGGAGAATTCTTACTGATTACAATCTTTTCATTCATTTTTATCATGTGTATAAGTTGCAGATGTTAACAAAACTAGACCTTTCAGCTTACAGTCTTTCTGCAATACAATATCAAACAAACATTGGAAGAAAAGATAAACCCAGGATATCTTTGTGACAATAATTGTCAGGAAGAAATTAAAATTGAGCTCATGAACTGATAAATTTAAGACCGCCTTTGAAAACATGGAAGCACTGGATGGCCGTTTCGTTCTACTATGAGACTCCTCGGCAGACGCATCCACGACACTGCTCTCGGGATTAGAACCCAGGACCTTTGATCTCGCGCAAACGCTTAATTTATAGATCACTAAACCGGCATTCAACAATGTTAATGTCTAATCCAAATCAACCCACAATATTACGCGACCATCTTCCAGTGTCTCTGGTGGGTAACTGCTTTACACCCTATGCGGTCGCACTCCACTGGCCCACATCACTGTAGTGTCGTTTAGTGACTGTTTTCATCAGTAGGAAGTTAAAGCAGCAGTGTAAAAACAGTCTATGTCGTTCTTACGAACAGTTCACGACGGCGATCTATGGTCATACTCTTGCTTCCAAGTTTGAAGAAATAATAATAAGTTTCTTCTTATCATTTTATTTGTTGTCATGAAATGAACTTTATCGTCTTGCAGAACATGTGATTATAATGGGAGGCATTTATATTTAGCATGTATACCATCATTATCTGATCTACTCAATTGACATACTAGCTTCTTTATCCCCACTATATCATGCTAGATTGGTAGGTATCAAGTCAACTATCTTTTATGTAGTTGCTATCAGTGTATCTTTGTGCATTAGACAAGACTAAAGTTTACTTTTCTAAGAGGATTAATCCATTTTACTTGAAAACTATGGAATACTACTTCTTATATCTGATAAACTTATCAATACAATTGTAATTTATATAGTAGAATGACTTTATCTGAAGAGCCATTAGAGACCGGAAAGCTTCAAGTACCTGTTTCATTCCCATCAGTGCTCACTACCGGGATCACTGGGAGTCGAACCCAGGACTTTCGGGTCTGGAATCAAGTCCGTTACCTTCAAACTACCAATCGACATCCAATTGTTCACAGATTCTCCTAACCTTTTTCCACCATTATTATTATGAATCAACTTCTTATATCTTACTTTTAATCATGATAAGCTAACTGCCATCAACACACGGATAGAATAGGGGTCTTTTATCTTAAAGTATCTATTAATGAATAACCTGTATGTTTGTCACAATAAAACGCAATCATTCTCTAAAGGAAAATTTCACATTTCCAAACTAATTCACGTTATACAGTTAAATTAGTATTTTTAACTGCCTTACATACAGTACGTAATAATATGAATCAATTAATTTGTACACCTATCTTAAGGTTTTCCCAATTCATTGGTTATATACATTCATGTGTTGAGAAAAACTTCTATTTAATTTGAAGGCTACAATAGCATTCAAATCATATGAAAATACTCGCTTTTGTTAAATATCATAATTTTCAGTTTTAAGATTCAACTGACCAGTACCGTTTTGGCGCCTTAGTTTTTTGAACCGATTTTCTATCTACTAAATTTGATTTCAGTATAATTCAATAATTCTCTTATAATGCATTATTTTCATGGCTCTAAGCATAAAATGATATTATTATTATTGGTTGAAATATTAGAAATACAGCACAGTTGAAGTGATCATCCTACTAACTGAAGTTCTGTAGAGTTTAAAACAATAATCTTGTAACAACTAAAACCAGCAGTAAATATACACAATAACCAACGACATATATCCCTATTATCACATTTTAATCAAAACTTTCAATCAACTAGTAGTACAATGAAAGTCCAACGAGATTGATTATATATACTGTTATAAATATTGTCCACCTTAATTCCACTATCAAAAATAGATTTCTATATATTGCCTTGGGGTCGTATTGTGGGTGTTTTTGATACTACTCAGTTCCCTAAAATGAAATAGATGAACCCTGATAAAATCATGCAACTTACTGATTAAAAGCTGAGTGCATTAACTACTTGATCATCTCTTCACAATCTTGTCTATATTTACCAAATCATCATTTAAATTGTGACATTTACAGTAAACAAAATAGTTAGTAATCTAGTTTTTGCTTAAAAATTCAAGGATAAAAATAGTCTTACTTTAGTGGATCATGAAAACCAATAAACTAGTCTTATGGCATTATTCTAATTGAGTTAAGAAGGCTGTATATAAAGGTAAATTCATTTTATATCAAGATCATATTTACTGACTTTTATGATCTATGTAGTTTTCAAATATGTTGTGTTTCTATTTTAAATAAAAACACATTTGATATTGACACTAGATGTTTCGTTTTCAAGTTTTATCGTTGCAACACCAGTGAACATACCAGATGAAATTATTAATTATGCAAGTAATTGATGTGAATAGCTTATTTTAGTGATTGCTTATTTTGTCAGTAATTCTAGTGTGTACTGAAATGTTTTGCATCATTTCTTATGTTTAATCTTTGTTTTTCCTTCAGACGTTTATTCAATTCAGGAGAACGAACTACTATAGTGGATGGATCTTATTATTGTATGTCATGTTCATCAAATCTTACAAATGGTGATGTACTGCATAAAACTGTCGGTAGTAACACTCGTGATGGTACTGCTGCGGCTGCTACTATTACTAATGGTTCGAATGGTGTCTGTTCTACTTCATCTTCACCATCATCTAATTCTCCTTCATCAAAATCAGATCAATTTAATCCATTATCGTTGTCAACATCTGGTCATCAATCACAAACATTACCTACAATAAGAACTTCTCCCTCTTCTACACCGATACATCATCCAATTAATCATACCGATGATAGTAACACTCAAAATCATAATCATTATCAACAAAATCTCATTACTGATGCTAATCTTAAATCATTTACATCTCTTAATGATCAACTTAGTGTACAAATTCATGAAAATGGGTGTTCAAGTAAGTTTGCTCTTGAACTTTTAAATCATTAAAAATTGTCTTTAAAAGTAAACAAGTTTATAATGTTTCCGTCATTAAATTATAAACTTATTCAACAACGGATGGTTATTTTGTCATCACTTTGGATTCCTCAGATATCTATACGAATAATATACAAAAAGTATCTAGCCGGCTAGCATCAACTCCTATGTTAACGTCGTTTTATATGATTAGTATACGAACAAATGTTCCTTTCTGGATTATTTTATTTTGCTATGAAGAGTGATCTAATAAAACTGTTTAAGAATTCCTAATTTAACGATATGGATATACATTAGTTTAAGTTTTGGTGGAGTAAAATTATTCATTTATATCCTTGATGTAGAATATCGTACAGAATGTAAACATTATATATCCTCGCCTAAAGTTACTTTCTCTAATTCCTAAACACTACAGATATTCTTATTATAATCTCTTTGGATTATTGTTCTTGTGTATGATATAGTCACTTGAACAAACGTGATAGTTGAATATCGTATTGTCACTTTGTCAGAAATTCTTAAACCTAGATTTTCCACTAGTTTTTATTCGTTATCAAGATATATCTAAAGTTTTGACGAAGATATTGATACTTTCTATGAGATTCAAACCCATTTTACTCCTTGTCAAAATCAAAGGCGTTATCATTGAGTTGTTAACTTGAATTAATTAACTGTTCAAGTCATGTGAAAAATAAACATAATATTTGACTATGTCAGCTTATTCGTTTAATCTATTCACCCTTTATTACTATTGATTAGTTAAGACATGTGATCAGTCAAATATAAATTTTTGGAATACAGTGGGTTCAGTAAGTATTGAGTATTTCAGATCCAATATTTGTGTGTAAACTGCGTAATCATAAAAATATGAATTGCAGTACTGTTTGTAAATATTTTCCAAAAAGTATACTATGTGAAATAGTCTTTTTTTGGATCAGGCGGGCGTTGTGACTTATTTGTTTATTGAACGTATTCTACCCTTGAAAATGAGTTCTTTTTCAAGATTGGATATGGGTTAATCAAGCATGGCAATATGATTAATCCAGACTTGTTTCATATTAGAATAATAATTGGTTTACTATAAACTCATAGAACTTACTACACTCGTGTACTTGTAACAGGATGGAAAGAGAAAAGCTGTAGGGCGGTAAAATAAAATTGACTTTGCCGACTGAACATGTAATAGTTGATATTTTGGATTGAATGTTGCAGTTAAAAAAATGTATAGTCAAACTAATCAACTGACGGTCGGCAAAGTATAAGTTTACACGCATCCTATTTCCAGCAACTGATTTATAAATTCTCAAATGATACTCCTAGTGAAGTTTAGAAGAGAGTAATATTGCGAGTTGTTTTTTTCGCAATAAATACATCTCACTACTTAACACAGAAGTTCACACACAATCATAATATTTAACTTTCTTTTTCTAGTTAGTGTTTTTTAGCGAGTTAGTTTTCTGCGGTTTGGGGTCGCTAACCGCATGTCCAACCCTCCTATTTTACCCGGGCCCGGGACCGGCAGTAGCCCCAAAGGGCTCTAGGCGGAGTTATAACATCTCATCAATGCTACCCCAACATTCTTTAAGCTTTTGAGATTTTTAAAGAGAGCAAGAACAGTGGCTTTAGAAAATAATGTGAATTTATTGTGATCACAAAGGATTCCAAATAAGTTCATTTATGTATTTCCAATCCCTTTTGTAAATTTGGTCTTTAAATATTTCAGGTTGTTAGCAGTTGACTAGAACATGATCAACATAATATGAGTTGACATCATCCTACTCAAATCTTTGTTCTTGCTCTCTCCAATATAATAAAAACAATTGTAGATCTAGTTTTCAATTTGTCTTTGACTAACAAGCAGCAAATTTTAGAAAATCCAACTATTACTTAATCGAATCCCTCCAAGTCTTATTTTACCCTGAAAATGATAAATCATGATGAATAGCAGTTTGTTACGCTTGTAATACACTGTCTACCTTTATATGCGTTGATAACTTGTATGGGTAAATTGGAAAAAAGCTAAGGACGACCTAAGCGAGATGAAATATCAGGATATCGACTGTTGAATTGATGGTTTTATTACTTCGACTTTCCTGGTATTTGTCCTGATAACTTTTTCGTACTGTACTGACTTGATGTGACATCTCGAGTCGACTCCTATATGTTCCAAGTTTCGCTATGTTTATGACTGGCTTAGTGAATATATCGTTTATCTCATATATTACAAACTAATTAGACCAAATTAATCATAATTCTTTCACTTTTATTTGTTTGATTACTTTTCAGTTCCTGGCAGTGAATACCATAAACAGAAGTTAGAAGTAAGTTAGCTTACTTGTTTTTTTATTCAGTATTTCATTTTAATTTATTAACATGTAACGCCTCCAGTGATCGTCACTAGATTTAAAATACCTGAAATCAATCCCATATGAGGACGTGGATGCATATTGCCAAAAGAGAGTCATAAACTGGGATGAAACAATGTTCAGTCAGTTCTGATTGGTTTTCACTGTGTTTTTTTCAATCATTTCAAACTGTTAATACAAATCGACAATCTTAATAATTATGAAAATGTATAGTGGAAAAAAATAATCGAAGTTATTTATTAAAGTTCATATAATAGGAACATTTTCAGTCATCCAGTGTAACATTCATTTAGTATTGTTTGTTTGAATCTTCCCATCGATGTGTTAGGACTGCAAGTGGTCAGTAGCTAATTGGCATTTATGCATACTGTGCGTATTGCCTAGATAAGGCTTAATTCACAAGCATAGTAAACAAAGATGGATGCAGGTACATCCAGCTGACGAGGCTCAAATAGGACGAAGTGGCGCGCGTCCTGGATTCCACTGTTAGCAACTATCCATCTTTGCTTATCCAGTGTAACAGTTTTCATTTAAAATTTGAAATAAAACATCATTTGTTTTTAAATGAGTATTTAGATTTCACTACCAAGGTTTGATTTGATAGTTTCAAATAAATTGAGCATTAGGTAGAAGATATTAGAGCGAATAGTTTCACAGTATTTAAGCGCCGAATTGATGTAAGACATTAAATAGGAAGAAGATTATGTATTTGTAAAATCTCAGCGAAGTGAATTTGAAATAAATCCAACGTTTCGCCTAGCAACCTGGTCCAAACTTTTCCTAGGAATTTTAATCAAACATCAAAATTATCGAATATAAATAAATAGACAAGAAACAGTATATATTGTGAATGAAATTTCTCCTCTCATTACTTACGTTTCTATACAATATGTTATATTAACACTTATCATTTCACATCACAAATCTCTTACACACTAATTAATACATATACCCAGTTTAGACACTTTTAAACGTTGATTAGATGACCTTGTTCAATGAACGGAAGAACCATATACTACTTATTTATATTCGATAATTTTGATGTTTGATTAGAATTTCTTGCAAAAGCTTAGAAACAGATTGCCAGGCAAAACGTTGGATTTTGTTTCAAATTCATTCGCTGTGATGTTACAGATATATTATTTTGATAATGTAATAAGAAGACGAAGATTATCAGAACTATGTGATGAGATATTAGCGTAATACATTTCGAACAATTTGATCAGACATAATATACTTGTTAAGAACATTTATATATAAAAATAAAAGGTCAATTAAACTGGAAATAGGGAGGGGGGGTAAGAATAGACAAGGATAATAATGATAAAAATAATGTGAAAACAATTTGACACCTAATCACTAATCAGCTAATATTGCCAGGGTAGGTTTAAAGACAGAACAAACTATTTTTGAATACACAAAGGGGGTTTGAATTTTCGTATGGCTAAGGCTTCAATATTTTCATTTATATATATATGTTCTTAACAAATTGATTATGTATGATCAAATTGTTCGAAATGTATTGCAATAATATTATCATCACATAGTTCTTCTGATAATCTTCGTCTTCTTATTACTACATTATCGAAATTTATCAAAGGGACTAATTGCTTTAAATATATTCTTCCTATTTCATTCTATTTGTTTATTATAACTCATTAGTTATAAACTCATTACTACAATGATATTAAATAATAATCAAAACTTAATACTTTCTATTCAATGAATAATAGAGTGTCCTATAAATGTGATGATCATTAAATTATATAGATTAACTATGAACAACATCTAATCCTTGAATAATCGAATTTACTACTGATTATAAGAATCTATTTTACCAATTTAAGTCATATCGAGAAAAAGAAAGAATAAATTTTCTTTCAAAAATGATTAATCTCCATATACAATCTGTAGGAATTGACACAATTTATTATAGTCTACAAGTAACTACGTGATAATCCATACACATTTAAGGACAGATTATCTCCTTGTTAATATAGTTATTACATGACAACTAAAATGAATGATGAATTTTTATTATGAAATATGGTTTAAATTAAAAATTGAAGTTTGAAAATTGTAAACTGAGCAAATCGAGTTTTTTTCTGTTACTAAGGTTTGGACACTGATAAATCTTAAGACTGAAGTAGTTAATGTTTGTCTATATGAAGGGCGCTTGATCTGTATCTTTGTGTTGTCTGTATGAACGTGGCATATATATATATATGCAACAATAATGCCACTGTGAGAAGGCAGTGAGTAGAACTTCCGTGGCAGAGGCTATATACAGGCTATAAACAGTAGTTCTTACATTACACAGATTAGTGAACGCAATTGTAGAGTTTGGAACGATGAATACTGGATTTGCAAAACAATAACATTATAATTCAGATGAATTCAGCAAATGAATTTCAAATAGAGCAAAACATATACGATAAATTTAACTGGTAGTTTCGGTTTAAGTATATTTATCATCTGATATACTTAAGTTATATGAAAGTCTCTTTCTTATTAATTGTAATTTCAAAATAAAATATTACTCAAAACATGGGTAGAATGTGATAAAATCTTACCTCAATTTGACTTGATCATCGTATTCAATACTCCAGTTTATCCCATTTAATCTAGTAACTACTTCATTATGATAATTAGAAGTATTCGAATTAATTTGCTAATTAAAGATTCCTGAAATAGTGTAATTTAAGGCAGATAGAACTAGATAAGCACAAATGAATGAATTTTATTTTTAATTCGTAATCAGCGAGCCATCAACTACAAACGAATCATTAGTTCATACAAATAGCGCATTCATGGACTTTCGATTATTAAATCGTAACCAAAATTTGTCTTTTTAAAAGTTAATTATCGTAAATCTATTATGTATGATATTTTGACAGATTGTTCAACAACTCACTCTCAGTTGCAATTTTTTACTAAAAACTGTATAACTTTAAATATAGAAGATAGAGTTTTGTTCGATCTACGACAATACATCGTTTTTTGTACACTCATCACGTGATATAGTACCTTGCCAGGGAAGTTCTACTCACTGCCTTCTCGTGGCTACAGTGTTGTTCACGAAAGTGAGATGACGAAAAGCGAATGTTCGGCGCTTTAACCGGGTTGGTGGACACGGATAGTCCACCTAGGGGAGTTGGAAAACCCTGATTCCAAACCAATGGTGCACATGGGCTCCAGTATCCTGATGGAACGAATGGCGTATGAACCTATTGTTGGTCACCGGCTACCATGGGACTGCATCTCCTCACGATGCTCCACTGCCTTGTGGATTAGACCTCTAGGTCAAAGGCTCCGGGTGTGGCCCCCTAAGAAAACCACCTGCTTTAGTTTGGGCACGTGAGCAGTATCACGGCCCTCACATATGTATCTGGTGCTTCCATGTACCAATATTTATGTGTATAAATAAATAAATAATATAAAATAAATAGTACCATGTTTGAAAATGTATATTCAGTGTATGTAAAAAAGTGTTTCTAATTCACTTTCGAATACTTTGTTCTAATTTTTGTACATAATTAGGCAAACTTGTATTAGTTCATTTCTATTTAGTAAAGATTCACCATTACACAAAATCATCTGACTGTCTTAATCATTTTATATCATCTTCAAGAATTTCTTACTTTTCATATTCTCTCTTTTTCTGATTAACTTTGCTGTTTGTTATTATTTTATTCAAATACAATTATGTGTGTATTTAGAATGGTTAGACAGATAGTAAGATGACTAAAAAGACATTTTTCATAATTGAAAGCGTGAGTCAATTGAAGCTAGACCACTATCGAAAACCTGGAAACACTGGACGGCCGTTTCGTCCTATTATGGGACTCCTCAGCAGTGGTGGTCTAGCTTCAATTGACTCAAGCTTTCAACTATGAAAAAGACTAAATCTTCACAAAACCCCTTCTGATAAAGAAACATTTGTAATATGAATATTGTAAAATACATTATTCTTATTATCCAGTGTTTGTATATAATGTAATAGTTTCTATATGTATATGCTCATCTTTATACATATATAATGTAACTAAGTGAAAGGTCATATGAATTGTTTATCAAACTTTATAAAAAAATATATTTGGATAGACCAAAGTATGTGTTGGTTGTCTGGTCTTGTACATGTAAATAATTTAACTGTGATGTATCTAAATTTTCTCTTGGTAACATGTACTTCGTTTGTTTATAAGAAAGAAAGAAAGGCAAATACCTTCGAATAGAGGAGGTGATTACTACAATTTATGTTGGATAACAATAATAATAATAATACGGTTAATTATTTCCATTTATTCATTATTCATTTCTGCATGAAATTCACAATAATACATAGTGGACCGTTGGCTTGATTGCACAAATACATGCAAACCATTGTTTTGGTCAGATCAAGTTGATCCAATCTACTTTAATGTTAATACCAAATTGCACAATACACGGATAAGTAAATTCACACTTCTATCAATTAATACATAAATACATATCTATGTAATAATCGGATTAGTTTGACCCAGTATCAATGACACGTTTTTTCACCGATTATTATTATTCACATGTATTAGTAGAATAGTACTATGACCTACATTATTCATTTTTAAATACAAAATATGAATAATCATTTTTTTTCTATGCCAAAGTTAGCTGAAGTTGAACCAATGATCATTAGTATTACCTGGCTGGTTTTTCAGTTAATCATAAGTTGGACGTAATAGATTAAAATATCAAGTTTCAAGTTTCCATCTGATTTAATAGTTGATAGTAACTCATTACATAATAAAATTAAGGAATACTTTATTGTTAACTCTAAGCATTTAGGCATTCCATGAACTTCGATTATTTAGATTAATTACGGTTATACAGTATGGATGGTAAGGAAATAAGGTAACATTCCAATTGAATAAATTTCAGTAAAGTTGTATTAAGACTACAACTGGAATCCATAACGC